CAGACTCCTCACCCTGCCTTGGCACTCCTGGGCATAGGAATAGACTCCTGGTCCCCGCAATCCAGAACTGTACTAATACATATTTTGATCGTTGCAAGACTAATTATTGCCAGGCTTTGGAAATCGCATACAACAACATCCATTCATACAATGATTTAAATCCTAAACACGAACATAGTCTTTGAAAAAACCTTTTCTAAAATACACAATTCACTTGCCAAATTCCGGAAAAATTGGAACGTATGGCACAAGGATCGTCAATGTACTGTCGTGTAAACCACCTCAAGATGTACCACTCAAACACCACTAGTAACACAATTATTGTATTTTTCTACTATAATTTTATTATCGTAAAAGAAATATGGGGAAGCACAGTGGCTAAATGGTTATCACTTCCACCTGGCATTACTAGGGCCGTTGTTTTGAATCCCACCCACGGCACCTCCTGCCTGGAGTTTGCACCTCCTGCCTGTGCATGCGTGGGTTTCCTCCGGGTACTCCGGTTTCCTCGCACACTCCAAAGACAGTACATTGAGGCTGGTAGGTGAATTAGCTCCTGTCTAAATTGGCCCTAGTATGTGTATGAATGTAAGTTAGGGACCTTAGATTGTACGCCCCTTGAGGGTTAGGGACTGATGTGAATGTACAATATATATATGTAAAGCGCTGCGTAAACTGACGGCACTATATAAGTACCTGAAATAAATAAATATGTCATATTTTCGACTCAATTGCATTCTATATACGACACTTTTCTACTCTTCAAACTTCTCTACTTACTGCAACCTTCCTCTCCTCTTTAAATTACTGATCTTCTGAAACCATTCTCTAACCATAACCATTAAACAACTGTATTGATGTTAGTAACGAATACTGAAGACAAAACAATATTAACAATTTTTCACTTGTTTGTAAGATGTTGAACATACTTATACTCTATTACCTGTATATTTTACAAATCTGTAATATACTATTATGACAACACTGTTTATTGATGTAAACATTCAAATGATCAATAAAAAAGTCAATAGTTAAAATAAAAAAAAAGGGGCAAAGAGAAAAAGAACTGTTAGGCAGTTAGGGAGTAAAGGATTTAACTATGTAAATCTATTTAGTTTCCAATTTGGAAATGTCCCTCCTAGTGGCACTCCCTCTCCAATGCAGGGTAAATTTATCTATGCTAAAAAAAAAATTCAACCTGAAGGGTAGTTCTTATGTACGGTACATCATAATTTAATTGGGTACTATCCATGAAGGGAATGTTTGGTATGTGCCATTGGTGGATGTAGAGATAGAAGGATCGATTCCTTTGTCTCTGCAGAGTCATTCATTACTTGCACTACTACCAATGTTGTTTATATGTTGCAATACACGTGTGGTCTTCAATATGTGGGGGCCTTGAATATTTGGTTAGGTGAATTGGTACTGCTCGGATCTTGAAGAAGGGGTACATTGTAAAAGTTTGTCCTGAAAAATTGTAGGTTAGTGCAAATAAAAAAGGTATCATGGACGGTACTCAATTGTTTCTGTCACTAGTGCACTAATACGGTTACAATTGCCTCAAGCAAGGTGGTTAGGTGAACACATTGGTAATATTAGGAGGTCACACTGTGCCTAGACATTACATGGCAGTACATAATAACGACCCATCAGGTACCATTTGTTTGGGCATAGATAAATTTACTCCACATTAGAGGGGGAGTGCCAATATGAGGGAGATTTCCAAATTGGAAACTAAATAGATTTACACAGTTAAATCATATACTCCCTACAGCCCTAATGGCGATTGGGATGTGGATGCTTTTATTGACACTGCTTTACAGGTCTTCTGCTCTTTGCCCCTTTTTTTGCTCAATTGTTTTTATTTACTTGTACGTGCAATTTTTAGCTTAACCAGTGCCCGACTGCCCTATAGCAGAAACACTGCTACAGGACTGCACAGGTGCGCAAAATCACGTATATATACGTGATTTTGCATTTCCCGGTAGGGGGAGCATGCCCTGCCCGCGGGCACCCCCTACCCGTGCTGCCATTCACGGCCTCGGCTCTCAATCACCGGGTCCTGGCCAGTGATTACCAGCCGGTGCCCGGTGATTACCGACAATCACCGATGGGGAGGAGGGCTGCTTTGTTTACCAACAGTCCACCTCCCTTTCAGTTTGGGCACAGCCAACCAGAGCAGTGTGCTTACAGTGAAGCACACACCCCCGGGCCTCTAGTAAAACACTCCCAGCAAACAGTTAACCCTTTGATCGCCCCTCATGTTAACTCCTTCTTGCCCAGTGCCCTTGGCACAGTGTTAGTGCTTTTTTTTAGCATTGAACACTGTATTGGTGTCACTGGGGATGTCAGTGACACCAAGTCAGTTAGTCAGTTCCCCCCAGTGTCAGAATGCCCACCGCAGTCCCGCTATAAGTCGCTGACCGCCGCCATTATTAAAGAAAAAAAAATTCCAGTATCTATACCACCATTTGTAAACGCTAGAACTTTCACATAAACCAATTAATTTACACGTATTGGGATTTTTTTTTTTTAGCAAAGCCATGTCGCAGAATACATTTTGTCCTAAATTTATGACAATATTTGATTTTTAAAATTGTAGAGCCCCTAGTATCCTTCCGTATGTGCTTGCAAATCCCAATTGGCAGCCCACAAATTCTGCAGCACCCGTACTTCCCCGATTCACTGCCCAACCTGGAATTCAGGTAGAAACAGCTAATTTAAATACTCCCCTTGATTTTTGGAGCTGTTTTTCACAGAAGGTCTATATGCATTGATTGTGGATCAAAGCAATTTATATGCACAACAGTTTATCGCCACCAACCCAAATTCAAACCTTGCCAGACCATTCGCACGGAGACCCATTATGGTTTCCAAATTTAAAGTTTTTTTGGGCCTAACCCTCAACATGGCATTACTAAAAAAAGTGAATTGTGGTTGTATTGGTCCACAAACCCGATTCATCATATGCCCGTGTTCTCTGCTTCCATGGCCAAGCATAGATATGATAATATAATGCATTTTATGCTTGTCAATGACAACACACTCTGTCGTCCTTGGGGAGACCCTGAATTTGACTGGCTCCACAAAATTTGGCCCCCTCGTAAATCACCTTAACCAAAAATTTGCAGATGTCTATACTCTCCAGCACAATATCTGCATTGATGAGTCCCTCATTCATTTTTCTGGTCGCCTTGCATTCAAACAATTTCTCCCCAACAAGCATTCCAGATACCTGTATGAGGTCAAGATGTATAAAACCTGTGAGAGGGCAACAGGCTATATATATAAAGTTTTGGATTTACGAGGGAAAAGATAGTCACATGGAGCCCCCCGGATGCCCAAACTACATGGGGAGCAGTGGCAAGATATTTTGTGTCATCTTTTTTCCATACCTCTTATACGTGGACAATTTTTATTCAAGCGTGTCACTATTTAGACATTTGTACAATCTTGGAATTGGCGCATGTGGCACCGTGTGACCTAATCGCCAGGGCTTATAAATACCCATCATAGAAAGGGAGAAAAAGCCTGCTTGAGAAATGAGGATGTCATTCAGCTGCAGCACCGACTTGTTTATTCTGACAGCAACAGGGTCTTGCTCTCAGAATATACATAAGTAGGTGTGTGCAGTGCTGTTGGATGAGATTTCTTATCCGCAGTTAAAAAAAGAGCATATATACCAAAGCACGGGGGCCTGGGGTGGCCAGTGGCTGGACGGGCTGTATGCTTAGGCATATATATTTTATAATATTTTTTGGCTCATTCCATGTGTGCCCACCATTGGAAGTGGGTGGATGCAGGGTAGTATATTCTAATGGTGGGCATACCACACACTTTTTCTGGCAGAGATTTCTTCTCTTTATTTAATTAAGCCCACAGCCTGCATAAAAAAAAATAACATAGCATATACACCCAACAAGGACCAGCGACGTACTGGTACATCACTGGCCTTTGAGTGGTTATACCAGGATCATGCCTGCAGCTGCAGGCATCATCCTGGTATTGTTTTTTTTCAGTGGGCAATCGGCTTTAATGTAAAAGCAATCCTAGTAGCTAATTAGCTGCAGGATTGCTTTCTCAACCAGGGAGAGAAGATCCCCCTCCCCCGCTGCCTTCCACGGTCTTCTTGGGCAGTCCCGTGCCACCGGGGGAACCTGAGAATGCAGCCAGTGTTTCTGCCAACTGACCATACAGCTGACTGGAGACCTGAATGGTGCCAATAATCTCTATAGTCTAAGAAATTGGAAGCTACGAGCATTTCTTCACTTCAGTTTCGCAGGATAGAAACAGCGCCATTGTAAATTGGGAAAGCATCTGATCACGCTGATTAGATGATGTAAGGGCAGAGGAGATATCTAGAATTTGATAGACCCCAGATTAAAAAAAAAAAGAATATATGCCAATGCCCATTGAAGTTATAGGGGATATTTGCATCCCCTGTGATAGCATTAAAAGTGATTAAAAAAAAATGAAAGGCACAGTGTAAAAATAATATAAAAAAAAAAAAATCAAAATAACTAAAAAAAAAAAAAAAAAAGCACAAGCGTTGACCCTGTGTCAGTATGTAAACAATGGTTGCACCATGCATATGAGGTATCACCGCAAACGCCAGATCAAGGGCAGTAATTCTAGCACTAGACATCTCCTCTGTAAATCTAAAATAGTAGCTTGTAAACGCTTTTAAAGTATTGCCTATGGATATTAAAAATGTATGCAGTTTGTCTCCATTGCACAGGGTATGCACAGTTTTAAAGCATGTCATGTTTGGTATCTACACCACGTCCCAAATTATTATGCAAATTCTACTTAAGTGTCACAAAGATTATTTTGTTTTTCAGGTTAACTCATGGATGGCATTGTGTGTCAGGGCTCTTTTGATCCCTGAAAACAATCTCGGACACCTGTGATGATTAGATTGGCCGGTGAGCCCAATTTAAGGAAAAACTACTAAAGGAGGGTGTTCCACATTATTAAGCAGAGCACCATTTTCAAGCAATATGGGGAAGAAAAAGGATCTCTCTGCTGCCGAAAAGAGTGAAATAGTTCAATGCCTTGGACGAGGTATGAAAACATTAGATATTTCACAAAAACTTAAGCGTGATCATCACACTATTAAGAGATTTGTGGCTGAATCAGAGCACAGACGGGTTCGTGCAGATAAAGGCAGACAGATCCATGCATCGGATCAAGAGAGCAGCTGCTAAAATACCATTAGATAGCAGCAAACAGATATTTGAAGCTGCTGGTGCCTCTGGAGTCCCACGGACATCAAGGTGTAGAGTCCTCCAGAGTCTTGCAACTGTGCACAAACCTTCTATTCGGCCACCACTGCCCAATGCTCACAAGCAGAAACGGCTGCATTGGGCAGAAAAATACATGAAGACTAATTTTCAAACAGTCCTGTTCACTGATGAGTGCCATGCAACCCTGGATGGTCCAGATGGATGGAGTAGTGGATGGTTGGTGGACGCCACCCTGTTCCAACAAGGTTGCGATGTCAGCAAGGCGGTGGTGGAGTCATGTTTTGTGCCGGAATCATGGGAACAGAGCTGGTCGGCCCCTTTAGGGACCCGAAGGTGTAAAGATGACCTCTGCAAAGTATGTGGAGCTTATGACTGACCACTTTCTTCCCTGGTACAGAAGGAAGAACTATGCTTTCCGTAATAAAATCATCTTCATGCATGACAATGCACCATCTCATGCTGCAAAGAAAACCTCTGCATCAATGGCTGTTATGGGGATAAAAGGAGAGAAAGTCATGGTGTGGCCTCCATCCTCCCCTGACCTCAATCCTATTGAGAATCTTTGGAGCATCCTCAAGCAAAAGATCTATGAGGGTGGGAGGCAGTTTACATCCAAACAGCAGTTCTGGGATGCTATTCTGACATCTTGCAAACAAATTCAAGCAGAAACTGTCCAAAAACTCACAAGTTCAATGGATGCAAGACTTGTGAAGCTGCTATCAAATAAGGGGTCCTATGTTACAATGTAACGTGGCCTGTTAAAAAATGTTTAAAAAGTTAAAATGTTGTTAAAAGTTTGATTGAAAGAGCTTTTGATTTCAGTAAATATGCTGCAAACACAACAAATGACAATTTTCAGTTCTTTACAACCTATAAAGTGTTTTGTAACTACTGTGCGTAATAATTTGGAACAGTGCATTGTAAGTAGTTTATGTTTAACAAAAATCCTGTTATCGTTAGGAGGTTTTTTCAATAAAATTTGAATTGTACTCTTAATAGTTGATAACATGAGAATTATGCTGACTGTTATTTACATCAATTATTTAGGTAAATGAGAAAAATATAATTTGCATAATAATGTGGAACACGGTCTACAGTATATACTCAGCATACCATCATATTTTGTATTTCACCAAATAATTGACCAATATATTGTGTTTTTGTGCATTTTTTGGCCAATATATTGTGTTTTTGTGCATTAAAGTATTTTTTTAAAAAAAAAATTTGCATTTGAAAAATTGCTGCGCAAGTACTATGTGAAATAAAAAAAATTGCAGCACCCACCATTTTATTCACTAGGGTGTCTGCTTTAAAAAATATATATAATATTTGAGGGTTCAAAGTAATTTCCTAGCAAAAAATACAGATTTTTTTCATATGAACAAAAAGGCCCTGATTTAGTATTTAGGCGCATTTCCGTGGGCGAACGTCTACTTTTTACTAGCGACCATCTACTTTTACCCCGCTAAGAGATTTACTAAAGAGAAGCGTCAACATGTAGACGCCAAATCGAATTTAATAACGAGACACAGACCAGGAATCAGACTCAAAAAGCAGACTTGCTAAGAGGCACATCTAACACCATGAAAAATCACTGCAGAAACATGTTCACATTGAAATTTGCTTTGTCAAATATCAGGACTTCACTTTAAACAACATCTGCCATTTCCAAAAAAATGTAAAATGTGTTAAAAAGTTTTTTTTTAAGCAAGACGACACAGTCAAGAACTAGACGTTTGTGCAGTGTATTTGTCCAATATAAATGCGCATGTGCAGAACACATTTTAGACGTCCTCTGTGGGCGCTTGCTTTTTAGCCGTTCTTTAATAGTAAATCTCTGTGTGGAGTCCTCAGACAGCTGGCACTCGGTCGCGTCTACCGTGTTTAACAAACAGCACCAGACATATCTTTATGTATTCTAATTTGATTTCCTTAGTTCTATTGATTCTATTTTTGTTTCTTATCCTTTATAATTATTTCTGTAATGATTTTACTTATTTCGAAGGTCTAGATAATATTTATTTTGACAGCTGAATGTAAAAATAAAGGTCTGCAATAAAAAAAAAAAAAACAGCGTGGGGTCCTCCCTCTCATCCATACCAAGCCCTTCAGGTCTGGTATGGATATTAAGGGGTAACTCCACGCTGAAATTAAAAAAAAAAAAAAACAGCGCGGAGTCCCCCCCAAAATCCATACCAGACCCTTATCCGAGCATGCAGCCTGGCAGGTCAGGAATAGGGGGGACCCCAAAGCACCTTGTCCCCATGTTGATGGGGACAAGGGCCTCTTCCCCACAACCCTGGCCAGTGGTTGTGGGGGTCTGCGGGCGGGAGGCTTATCAGAATCTGGAAGCCCCCTTTAACAAGGGGGCCCCCAGATCCCGCCCCCCCATACGTGAATGAGTATATGGTACATGGTATCGCTACTCATTCACAAAAAAAGCAAAAGTGTAGTGTAAAAAAAAAAAAAACACACAGTACAGGGTCTTTGACAAGTCCTTTAATGAAACAATGTCCCCCGAAGTAGATCCGACGTCAATCACGGTGACCCGAAAAAAAAAAAATCGTTCAGCACTCGATGAGGCTCACTAGCCTTATGCAGCCAGTCTCGCTGACATTTCTTATATACGTAAGGGGCGCGGCCAGATGGGGACATCATCCGAGTGACCCCGCCCCATGTGACATCATTGATGTCACATGGGGTGGGATCACATGCTTGGGCTGCATGCTCGGATAAGGGTCTGGTATGGATTTTAGCAGGTTTTTTTTTCATTTCGGCGTGGAGTTACCCCTTAATATCCATTCCAGACCCAAAGGGCCTGGTATGGATGGGAGGGGGGACCCCACGCTGTTTTTTTAATTATTTATTTAATTCACAGAAATTATTTAAAATTCAGCTGTCAGTGGTGAACCCCGCTGACAGCTGAAACATTACTTCTGTCCCTGCAGAGAGCTGCGCTATTATATTTGACATTAAAAAGTATAGAGGTTGCAACATTGTATATATTTGTATCCATTTCGGATATAGATGTTTTTATTCGGATACAAATAGATACAATGTTGCAACCTCTATCCTTTTTAATGTCAAATATAATAGCGCAGCTCTCTGCAGGGACAGAAGTAATTACTTCGCTATTATATTTTCTGGCCGTAGACGGGGCAAAAATCGGCCGATTTTTTTTACCGTTGGTGGTAAGGTCGGCCGATTGAACAACCGATTTTTTTTTTTTTTAAAAAACAGCCAGTTTTCGCCTCGGCTATGGCCTGCATTTTTTTTTTTTTCTTATTCTTTTTCTTATTCTTCTTTTTCATTTTCTTCTTCTTGCAGGTCACGGCTCATGCGCAGATTTTTTATCCGTAAAAAGAACGGCCGATTTGCCGATCATTGCTGCGAAAATCAGCCGATCTGCAAAATCGGCTGATTTTTACCCAAATTTATGCAGGCCATAGACAGGGAGAAAACCGGCCGGTTTTTTTAACAAAAAAAAACGAAAAATCGGTCGTTCAATAGGCCGACGTTACCACCAACAGTAAAAAAAAATCGGCCGATTTTCTTCCCATCTACGGCCGGCATTTAATTACTTCTGTCCCTTGCAGAGAGCCCCGCTTTTATATTTGACATTAAAAAGTATTGCGGTTTGCAACATTATATCTATTTGTATCCATTTCGGATACAGATGGTTTTTTCAGTTTACAAATAGATACATTGTTGCAACCGCAATACTTTTAAATGTCAAATATAACAGCGGACTGGAATCCTTCTTTTTCTTCCTCTTCTTTCTCTTCTTCTTCTTTCTCTTCTTCCTCTTCTTCCTCTTTCTCTTCTTCTTCCTCTTCTTCTTCTTCTTTTCTTCTTCTTTCTTCTTTCTCTTCTTCTTTCTTCTTTCTTCTTTCTCTCTTTCTCTTCTTCTTCCTCTTCTTCTTCTTCTTCTTCTTCTTCTTCTTCTTCTTTCTTCTTCTTCTTCTTCTTTTTCTCTTCTTCTTTCTTCTTCTTCTTTCTTCTTCTTCTTCTTTCTCTTCTTCTTTCTCTTCTTCTTTCTCTTCCTCTTCTTTCTCTTCCTCTTCTTCTTTCTCTTCCTCTTCTTCTTTCTCTTCCTCTTCTTCTTCTTCTTTCTCTTCTTCTCTCTCTTCTTCTTCTTCTCTCTCTCTTCTTCTTCTTCTCTCTCTTTTCTTCTTCTTCTTTTTCTCCTCTTCTTCTTCTTCTTCCTCTTCTTCTTCTCTTTCTCTTCTTCTTCTTCTTCTTTCTCTTCCTCTTCTTTCTCTTCTTCTTCTTTCTCTTCTTCTTCTTCCTCTTCTTCTTCTTCCTCTTCTTCTTCTTCCTTTCTTCTTCTTCTTCTTTCTCTTCCTCTTCTTCTTTCTCTTCTTCTTCTTTCTCTTCTTCTTTCTCTTCTTCTTCCTCTTCTTCTTCCTCTTCTTCCTCTTTCTCTTCTTATACTTCTTTCTCTTCTTCTTCTTCTTCTTCCTCTCTTTCTCTTCTTCTTCTTCTTTCTTCTCTTTCTCTTCTTCTTTCTCTTCTTCCTCTTCTTTCTCTTAAGATTTATTTCCTTTGTTGAATTGCCTACTTGGTTCACACTAGATGCGATTTAAAATTGTGCTTTTTGTTGGCAATTTCACTGTGTTTTCTGTAGATTTACCAATGAGTTATTGCGTTTTCAGTTGTGTTTTGCATTGCGGCTTCTATTGTAGTCTATATGTGCAATCGCTACAAAATGCTGAAAAAGTTAGACAAGAACTACTTTTGAAATTGTGCTGCAGCAAATCGCTTATGTTAAGACACTCACATCCACATTCATTAGATCCATATCAGGTATAATTTCAATTCCCAAATTGCACCTGAAATAGTTCACCCTGGATGCGGCTTGGTACGCGATTTGCATGACATGCGACTTGCAAATCGTATGCCAAGTCGCACCCTATTGTCTGCTATTAGAGCAGTCACATGGGTGCGTTTCCGACACTGATTTCTAAAGTAGTACATGTACTACTTTTGTGACGATTTGCATAGATATCTGTGTCAGATGTCTTGCAAATCGCAAGGAAAATCGCCATCTTCACTGTAAGTCGCACGATTTCTAAATCCGCTTTGATGTGACCGGGGTGTAAGGCCTTTTTATGTTTGATTTCCTGAGTGTTTTTCCGATTTATGGGAAATGCCGCATACTAGCAAAAGTGAATTGACATTTTCAGTATTGCATGCGAGATGTGGTCATGTGACTGCCTTAACTCATGCGATAATCTGGAGTGAATTGTGCCCATAGGGCCAAGAAATATTGCCAATAGGGT